AACTACGTAATTCGTTCGATCGACTAAACGTTTGCTTGAACGAATTTTATCTGTTCAAGCAAAGTCTTATTGACTCAACCACTTCTTTTCTCAGCACACATATGTGAGTTATCTGTTACTCACTTGAATCATAAGATGTGCAACATACCTCAATATTATAATAAATATTACAAACTGTTTATTTTCACTGGGTGGCACTCAATTACTGGACAAGATCACCCTAGGATTAAAAGAAAAAAAAAACTAGTTGCCGCAAAATTTTCAAACCGTTAAAGCCCGATTTTCCCAACACCGACGGTCGTCGCGCGGATTAGCATTAACCGCGTGACGTTAATTATAATCTTGGTCCGCTCGCAGACTTTGCGAAACATACAAAGCGCCTTATTGTACGTAATACGGATAATTGTCGCTGTCACAGGAAGTCTTTATAGCAAAAGTTTCGGTCCGGAATTAGCGGTTACGGAGCTAGCGCCGCGGATGCAGCCGGCCCCGTCGTAACCCGCTCGCATCGCCCGGAAAATTACATCTTACGGTTGTAACGAACTTCGTCGGAAGTTTGCACGAAGCGCGCGACGTATCGTTCGTTTATTAAGGCGAGTTTTAAACTATTCACGGTCACGCCTTGACGAATCTTCCGCTGGAGCGTCGTCGTCGTCTTCGTCGTCGTCGCCGACGTCGTTGTCGTCGTTGTCGTTTCTCGCGGCGTTCAAAGCCGCGGTGGAAAAAAAAGGAAGATTTCGAAATAATGTGAAATTGGAGCGGAACGACGGGAAGGGCCAGGGGAAGAGGGAAGGAGGGATGGAGGAAAACGAGGCGACGGTAATGCGAGATAATAAGGCGCACCGAAAGCGATGCGCGGTAAAATGCGCGACACCGTCCTTAAGTACGACGACGTGGCATTCAATTTCGTGTCAGCTAACTTTTTTAACGAACTTGCGGCGCACTTTGCGCCAGTTCCCATTCCGCAGTCGTCGTAGACACGAGACGAGTGTCTCGAGCCGGCGCGGTGCCCGGCGAAAAGCGTAATCGTGCTTAACGTGAATTATAAATTCACCGCAAACTATTATTTCTGCCTGATCCGACTGTCTGTGTAACTTTCAAGTCGCGTTCCCAGCCGCGGTTACCGCGCGACGGAAATTTCATTAAGACCCCTCGTGCGAGAGAATTTCGTACAGTTCAATATAATCTAATATAATCTAGACCGCTATATATATGTAGTTTCCAGTTCGCAAAAGTTCGTGATAATAAATCTCTATTTTATTCGACACAATGTGTGTAAAATATGTCGAGGTTCTGTCAATGAAGTGTCAATCGCTTGGGAGAACAGTAATTCTTCCGTATATGTATCATGTATTATACTTTCAATTGATTCTCTTTTCATAAACGGACATTTATATTCCATTAATCCCCTGACAATCGCATTCTCATTTCATGTGCTTGAGTAACAAACACATAAATGTAAGTGTTGGATAACATCGTCTGTTGGATGTGTATTATCATAAAATTGATTTGAAATTTGTTAAATCACTCATCGTAAGTAATAATTATTGTTCACTTTTTTGACATGTAACATGAGTTTCATATATCCATAATCTTGAATTTTTTAAATTTTTATTTACTTTTTACATTTCATGAAGCCACATAGAATAACATAGAATAACTTAGAAGAGTTTGACGTCAATTGTGGCTCTAAAATTAACTTATATATATTGTAGAAACTATATATAATAAATATATATAAATAAATAAATAAACAAATATATATATATATTTGTTTATTTATTTATACTTATATTTATACTTATTTTACTTATATTTACATATACCAAACTTTTATGGCTAAAATTAGTCTTAAAATTTATTGATAAGATTGATTCATTGAAAAAAAAATTGACAACATAAAGAAGTAAAAAACTAGCTATAGTTTGAGATCAATTAATCGGCGACGAAATATAGACGTGAACCACTGATCATAGTCGGTGAAGAATGAAAGGATATGGGGAAAATTACACTAGTATATCCAGAACGCATATTCTGTGATTATCAGAGTTAATACTCGGAAAATTAAAAAATTAAAAAATTAAATAAAATATTAAATACGCTCTGTTTGTTCAGCTGTTTGAAAAAACAAATTTTTCGTTGGTTCTTTATCTCATTACAAATTTTGCATATTACAATTATATTGCTTTACTGCACTTTTAAAATTCAGATTATACTTGCGACAAAAATTTGCTTCTCCAGCTGTCTAATTTTTTTCGTTATAAACTCGCTAAACTGCGTATAAGCCCGTCGATTAAAATCACACACTACAGTTTTTTCATGATATTCCATGTAACCGTTACGAACAACGTGGCGAAGGACGTGGCGAAGCGTTTGTTATCCCTTTATGTTTCGTCAACACGCGTATTGTACAGCAAGATATGTCTTGTTCGCCGATTCGTCGGACAAACGATTTTCTCCTTTCCATCCGACTGAAACTACCTTCCGGTCGGATGCGATACCGCGCTCGCCGAGGCAAACACCGACGACTGTGAAAGCTTTCATACTTCCAATTCGCCCCCTTTTCCATCTCTGTTTACTCATGGGAAAAAAGAGCGGCCGCGCCTCATAGCAATGCGGAAACAACGTATATCCGATGAACTGACAACAAGAATACCATCGCGTTATTACACAATATCATATTTCCCGCGATACATCATAATGCATTTTTACGGTACTTTTATTATTTTTACCCGCACCTGCGAACAATGCGCGTATCGCGTGCGTACGTGGGTGCATACGTGGGCGCATACGTGGGCGCATACGTGTATGTCGCAATGTTAATGTACGCGTATGTACTCTATCTCACGGTCACATTTCGAATCTACGACGTCATTCGCTTTATTATGACGAAAATATCGTCGCCACTAAACCCGAATATTTATAAAACCGCGACTCCATCATGTAGAAAATTCGTTATTTTCACTGCTTTATACACATCTTTTTACTTTATATACGTATCTCGATTGAGTTCAACGACGATCATTAAAATCACGCAAAATCGAGTTTGCGATTTTGCGCGATTTTGCGTGATTTCTAGGCTCGTATTTATAGTCGTTATTTGTAACTTGCTTCGAGTGAGATTTAGATCTGAATTTAGAGCTAAATATAAATTTTCTTGTTATCGTAGTCGCGATTACAAACGTAATGCCACACATACGTGTGTGATTCAAGTGAAAAGCTCAGACCAGTATCAAGCATTGACTACACAGAAAAAACAACTCCGTTAGTACAACTGAGAATTATCTGTTATCTGGAAACTAAATAAAAAATTCGATCGTAAGAACAGAAAGATTCCTGCAAGAGGTTTCTACTCAGCCAATTCCTCTTGAGTTATCTCAACCGCGTTTCAATGTTCAATAGTTGAATGTTCAGGCGATTGTTCTCTGTCAAGGTACACAGACATTATTTCTCGTCAGCTAGTTTTTCATCTGGTCCCCATTCAGTTACATGAACTGAAATTTCTTTTTCTATGTATTAATATGAGCTACAGATTTTATAATCAATATTAATGAAACTCAGAGCTTACGAGAGCTGAATGCTAGATTATAAATCTGTGCTAACACAAGACATATTAATAAAAAAAAAAAACATACAAGTTTATAGGTACGTTCTTAGCACAGAAAATTACCTCCAACATTTTTATATAGTCAATCAGAGTAATTAAAGATGTCTAAGATCCACCACCGAAATTCTGAAAAATGCGAACTTGCAAAATTAGCTTTTTTGAAATTTAATGCGTGTTCGACTTTCATGAGTTTCTATTTTACTTAAAACTCCTGGGTATTCGTTGCAGCCATCTTGATTTATGATGTCAGAAACGAGGAAACACACATGCTCCAAATTTCTACAAATTATATAGAAATAAAAAGACATCTATAAGATGACATTTGCAATCGATGCAGCAGATGTGTAAAATAAACTTAACAATCTCTTTCCTTTTGTTTTAACAATCAATAAATAAGTAACGTGTAACCTTCCTTTTCAATCTACTTTTTGTCATAATTTTATCATATTAATTTTACGTTTATTTCCTGATTGTTAGAACAAGCGGAAAATATTTGCACTATTTTACAGATCTGCTCGATTGAGATTGCAAGTATCATTTTATAGATATATCTTTTTATTTCTACATATTTTGCAGACATTTTAAGCATATTTCCTCGTTTGTGATGTCAAAAATCAAAATAGCCGCGACGAATACCGAAGAGTCTTTATTTTGGGCTGCGTTCCGATATTCACTGCCAATATTGCGCGATGTCATCACAGTATGCCGACACAAACGTTCCATTTTCACTAATTACTTTCGATTTGCTGTGAATAGAGAAAATGCAGCAGCTGGCGATATCACATAATCAAATTTTAACTGAATTTGAACTTTATTAGTGACAAATTAAATGACTAATTAATAAAATACGAAAGAAATTACAATTATTACGAATATTGCACACGCTATTATGGAGAAATTACAATTATTACGAATATTGCACTCGTTATTATGGAGTCAAGTACTCATTTTATGCTTTATTATTTTCTACGTCTATAAGATACAATTCCTCCGCCGCCATGTTCCTATCACGAATGCCTTATCTCGCGAGCCGCAGTAACGAAAGCAGGAAGTGACGACAAAACCTGTGACATCATATGAACCTGTGATATCATATAAAGCGCTTGAAGGTTTACTGTCGTGTGTATCGGAACGATATTTGCAGTGTTGCCAGTGAAAATCGAAACGCGACCTTGATTGCCTATCTACAGAGGCTTTGATTTCTTCAAATTTGTCCGATTTTCTGAGAAATTCAATGGCGTAACGTGAATGGCACGATATGTCGTTTACCGACACGTGCCTCTTAGGCGCGCGACGGTTAATCCATCTCGACTTCGTGGCATGACGATCAGCATCCGATGAAGCGGCGAAACTATACAAGTAATGTCATGCCCGCGAACCGTTTGAATTTCAGGGCAACTGCGGATTCACCCGGGGTCGCAGCGTCGGCATTCTGTCAGGCAGTCTGGCGTTACTCGCGCTGGGCCGGATCAGGCTCGCGGGTATCAGGCCGGAGTTTGCCAGCGCGGACAATCCAACGGCGAGGCATCCGTCGCGCTTGACGCGCGGCCTCACGTTCCTCTATCTGCCGGCGGCGAGCGCGAGAATGCTGCTGTGTCCCAGCACCTTGAGCTTCGACTGGTCGATGGACGCCGTGCCGCGAATAACGAGCCCGTTGGACCCGCGGAATTTGGAGTCGGTGTGTCTGTACGTCGCTTTGATCGCCGCCGTTTTCTGGGCCGTGCGCGGCCTGCGACGGCCGTGCCGCCGGGAGTCGACGACGACGACGACGGCGACGTTCGGACTGCTCCAGGCGTATCCACGCTCCGCGTCCTCCAGGTGTCCCGTGTGCGCAGGCAGACGCACGGGCGGCTGTCACACGGACGGCTGCAGGGCGGCCAATAACAACAACAACAGTCCGCTAGGTGATTGTCATTGTGCCAAGAGGCCGAACAACGGTGGTGGCAGCGGCGCATCTGGCGTCGGCCGGCACACGGCAGCTACCGCTGTCGCCGTGTCCTTGGGCTTCCTCGTGTTTCCTTTCCTGCCGGCGAGCAATTTGTTCTTCTACGTTGGCTTCGTGATAGCCGAAAGGATATTGTACCTGCCCAGCGTGGGCGCCTGCCTGGTGGTCGGCGCCGCGGTCTCCGGATGCTACCGGATAGCGAGAAGAAACGGCTCCAGGACGCGCGGCAGGGCGGTACTGTTAGCGACGGCGATCCTTATCGCCGCCATGTCGACGAAGACGCTCGTGAGGAACGCCGACTGGAGGGACGAGGAGAGCTTGTACAGATCCGCGTTGCACGTCAATCCGCCGAAAGGTAAGCGGTCGATCGGTTGATTAACATGTTATAGGCCTGTGTTAGGTCTATAACTGCCTGTTATAGGCTGTGTTGATTTCTATTGATTGCGCGGAATGTTTAACTAATGATTGAATTGCCAAGGATTCGACAAATAAATATAATTCGAGATTCACACATCTATCTCGTTTCATTGGCTCTCTGCCGATCGTATTGCCCGATTTTTCAGACATGCAGATAATTATATTTTATGCTCTCTAAATTTACCGGGGTGAAAACTCGCTTAAAACGAGTGAAAATTTACTTGGAGCGATAACAGGAATATTGTGAATCCAGAATATTCAGAATATTCTGAATATTCAGGATTGTAACAGTGAATATTTCACTCAAACTTGGAGCGAATTCTGGCTGAACAGAATTTATATGAAAAAAATAATATGTTCTCTGGGTATGGACACGTGAACTCCAGGCTTTCTGGGCTGACATGAATTCAAGATTTCTTCTCTTTTAAAATGTAATTTTTTATACGCGTTTTAATTCTTTTTTTCATACTTTTCTATCATAAACAAGACTTGGGCAGCACAAAGGAGAATTTTGTAGTAAGAATTACGGAAAAAAAATTTTATAATAAAAACATAGCAATTAAGTCGCGTCAACTTTCTAAAATAAATGATTTTAAATTTGTGGTGCGTTACAGAATGAGGTGAGAGAGCGCACGCACGTGATAGAAATGTAAAGGTGTAATTTTTTGCATAATATATTTGAATATACTTAAAAGTATGCCAACGGACGCGTAAAAATTTGAAACATGAAAGAGTGCGTGGAGTGTAAATTACACCCTCCGAATTATTTATGCTTATAAATATAAGAAATAAATATTTTTAGTTTGTTGATTAACATTATCTATTGTTGCACACATCTTAAAGTGTATTATAAGATGTAAATTTTAATATTTTGTCGATAATAAGTAGTTCTATGTTGAAATGAGTTCAGAATGTGTGTATGCACATGTTGCACAAGTTGCACAAACTATTATAAAATTGTTGTGAAACTGTTGAATTTAAAAAATTTTATGGTGTATTGTAAAAAATATTATTTTACATAATGTAATTCGCAAAAAATAAATTTAAAAAGACTAAAATCGAGATTAGTAACGTTATGAAATATTGAGTTATTACGTTAGATTCATAAATAGAGATATATAATAACATAATAGTAATAAAAAATTTTATTAAACGTATTATTTTTTTGCTTTAAGTTTACTATGGCTGCGTTCGCTTTGGGCGTTTACGCGTTGTAAGCGTCATTCTATCTTTATCGTTCATTACATACGGGAAGAAGATAGAATGACGTTTACAGCGCATAAGCGCCCAAAGCAAACGCAGCCTATATCATTCAGAATGAAAATTTATATCGTGGAAGGCCACGTAAAGTATAAAGTACACCCCTGATGCTAATCATTGATAGCCTAGGAAGGGATTAAGAAAACTCAAGAGGGCAGCACTGAAAAAATGTTTCTGTGTAAAATCTAAGAAAAAAGGAAGATAGGTAAAGGTACACACCTCACGCGCTTGTTGAAGGGTAAAAATGTGACAAAGAAGGGATCACAACAACGTAAAATAGAGCGATAAATGAAGGAGAGTGGTTTGTGAGCAAAGACTGAAAGATGCAGACGCATCCGGCTAAATTTTCGTCGACTGATACAGCTCCCAAACTTCGACATTTGTCGAACATATATATTTTTCGAAACGACTGTGCACGATCGTAACGTTGCCTCGTGTATCACGCGACCCGAATTCAGAGTACGTCGCGTACCATCGGTGTATCCTCGCGTGGATATCGCCGCTGCCAATGACACTTTTATCAGCTGTGCCCGTTTCGTCGTCGTCGTCGTTGTAGTCGTACGAGCCCTTAAACGCATACAATATCCATGAGAACGTCTCATTTTTATACACGAGGGCTGTAAAAAGGGAGAAGAACAACTCGCGCGCCGTGCACGCTGCCGCTTCACCGGACGGATTAAAGACATAAAGATAGTAAAAACGCTCAAGCGCGCGTTAATAATAAAAGACCGTAGTAGCGCTGCTAGTTGATCGAAGGTTGATAGGCACGCCGCGACGAAAATATATGACCATGTAAAAATGAAATTCTCCTCGTCAGACCGACGGCCGGCCGGCCGACTGACGGATATCACACCGCCTGTTTTCTCGTTATACGCCGAGGCCATTGTGCCACCGGCGGGCGTGTGCTATCCCGTCTGTTCATCTTGCACCTCGACGCAGGCAACTATGTGCCTACCGTGTCCATAAAATTGTCGGGAAGATGAATACACGGTATGCAACGGGGAATGAGCCCTCTCACCCTCTCTCTTCCTCTTTGTTTCTACTCATTGTCCGTCGTCTTTCTTCTTTCTTTTTCCATTTTTCTCGCACCGCGTTAATTTTTTGCGCCCCGTATATATCTTTCGTAGGGTTTCATAAGAAGAGTTAACGTTTATTAAAAAAAAAAAAAAAAAAACGTATTTTCATTCTCATGAACGCGTTTACGCAACAGATGTCGAATGCATGTGTTAGGTGAAATTAAAAAAATTCTGATGAAAACTTTCTTTAATAAAGTTATCTTCACGATCCTTCTGGCATACTTATAAAATCGATACATCTTTTAGAATCTTTAAGTAAAGATTTTATTGCAAGGGTAAATATATTTGAGACGTTTGAAAGTTCTCCATTGAAAGAAAATTAACTCTCCATTGTCCACTGTGATTCTGAAGTCACAATCCATTTTTATCATTATTTATCTCCAATATGACTATTGTTTCTGTCTTGACCGACGTGAAAATCACAATATGGCTACCTCTTTTTAGTATGTTGGCGGCAATAGTAACTGTCCAGCGTGACCTCAGAGCCACAAATCTATTTTGGGAAAATAAGAAATTAGAATTTCACCTTTTTTTTATGTGTTGAGTACTTTAGTTTTAAACATAAATGAAAAACTTTTTAAACATGTGAAATTAATTTTAGCAGTAGAGGATTAAAGGGAAATAAGTTGACAAGTTCTTGTGAGGACGCGAATACGACAAGAGTCGTTGGAATTTGGAGAAATGACCAGTTTCGAGAAGCTGTCGCGAGCGAACGAAGCGTTCTTCCAGGAGAGTGATGTAAATGAACGATACCGAAGCTTTGTCAATAACGTGCAAATTCGGTCAATAAAGACTCGTTAGGCTTGGCGCAAAGCGAGCAGCAATCAGCTGCTTTCCGGCATTTCATCCACGAACATTCTCTCTAGACGTTTAAGAGAGAGAGAGAGGGAGAGGGAGAGGGAGGGAGGGAGGGAGAGAGAGAGAGAGAGAGAAGCATCATAGAATCATCAATCTCTACAGTTTTTTTTTCATTTTACTTATATTTATGGGATATATATTCTGTTATTAAATTTGTAGTTATTCCATCGACTAATACACCTACATCTTTATCTTAGAATAAAATAGTTTGATAGTTCACAACAATCTCTCACAACTTTAATGTATCTTATATATGTATCTATTTAACCGAGGCATTAACCTAACCGTAAAAGATTTTTAATTACTCGTATTTCTCTATATATATTTTGAATCAGCAAGACGAATATAAAACAAGTATAAATGGAAGAATAGTTTATAAATTAACCTTTAAGCAAACGCGCAGTGGCACTTTATGTTTAAAAACTGATTTTTCTGAAATATTACTTATGACACGCGCCTCCCTTTTCTATTATGGTCTTTATATTTTTCATTTATCCTGTGTTATAAAACATCTTTCGTATTTTTCCCATCAAAATCATTCGTTAGCTTCCAATCCAGTAAGTTTTGCGGTATTCCATATCATTCATCTCCAATGTTCTGCTAGGTTAATTTTATGTAATTATTACTTTTGTTTATAACTTAATATAAATATGTTTTTATTTAAACAGTTTTAAATTATGTTTCTTTTTTTTAAAGTTTTTAGGTATTTAGTTATAGCTAGTTATAGATTCATATAACATAAATTTAAAAATGCACAAAATTCCAACGTTATATTTTATTACAAATATATTTTACTTCTTTTTATGTATTTACAATTTTTATAATAATTTATATCATAATTTTATAACAAATAAATAATAAGTTAGTGACGCGGCACTGAGTACTGCGCGCGTCCATTGTGATGTTTGGGAAAAAAACGCGTGCACTTAAGGGTTAAATAAAATTAGAATTTATTTTCATGTGATACGCGAAAAAGAAGAATTATAAATCTACAATGCGATCATTTGCTTTTCTTTTTTATTTGCTCGAATTATAATTATGATTGCGACTTCAATCGTAAATTTAATTAGAACTTTAGAAAAAAAGAAAAGAAATCCATTTCTTAATATATCGCAAAATTAATCGATAGTGTAGATAAATAATCGTTTGGCTACTAGAAGCGAGACAGTCTCAACTTTCGAATGCGCTTTGTGTTTCACACTTGTTTCACATTACTACGACATTTTTACGCGGAGCTATCGACGAATCGTTTGACAGGGACCAAAGCCCGCCGATAATGGTTCCTTTTCAGTCAAGCGCACCGTTGTTTCCGGTATGTCAAGTTCGCAGCGCGAACAAAATATAATACAATGATGTTACGCGCGCACCCCCGCTGGTCACCTTCAAAGGACCTCACGTCGTCTTCGGGATTTCGACGCTTCAAACAGCCATATTTCGGTGGAAAATTGACGTAGGAACATGAAACAAATGCCATTTTTTTCAAGACATCAATTATAAATTTTTTCGCGTGAATTCAATCTTACTCATTATCATATAATTTTTTCTTTAGTATGAAATCATAAAAAGTGAATAATTTTGCAGCATTCATAAGCAATCATAAATTTTTTCCTCCAATGTAAACTTGTGAAAAGTGAACATTTCCATATATTTTCAAATGTAGATTTCTTATTTTTCACACACAAGTTTATATTAAGGGAAAAGATTCATAATTAACTCCCAGTATTGCACACAGCATGCGTTAACA